GTGCACGTGACGATCGACGTCGTGGCGCTGGCGGACTTGCTGGACGAGTGTTGCTCGGGGTGCGGGAGAATGCCGGTGCTCGGGGCAATGGACGGGGGTGGGTTCCTTCGGGGTGGTGGCGTCGGTGGGGTCAGCTGCCGCTCGATTCCGTCCTGAAGACTGCTTCGAGCAGACGCACCCGCGACGCGTGTCGCCGGACGTCGGGGCCGAGCGACGTCGGGGATTGGCCGACACCCGCGCGCGAGCATGTGGCCACACGGAAAAAACGGGCAAAAACCACTCTCTTAGTTTGTTAGGGGCACACCGTCGAGCGCGTGCAACATCCGAGCCGCGTCCTCGAGAACCTCGAGATCAGCTTGTTCCCGCATGTTCCTTTCTCTTTCCTTTGTTTTTCCTAGTTCGGTCCTTTCGTCTTCTTTACATTTAGCTCTCGCTCTGCTGTCCTCGAGGCGCTCGACGAACACACGGAGTTGAGAAACGTCCGAGTCGGCCGACCGGCACGGGTAATCGTAACAAACGCATCAAAGTAAACGACATGCAACAATATTGCCGTGTCGCGGGGTTTCTCTTCGCCGATTCTCAACTAGTTCAGCTATCGCGCGCTCGACTTCGAGGTGGTCTCGTCTCGCCAGGAGACTGTTGTAGCTTCTTCCTTCGTGTTTGTCTCCTCCGAGGCTGGACACCCTCTTCGTCGAGCTCCGGTGGTTTTTGTTAATGGTTACGCATGCAAGCGCGCAAGCGAGTAAATATGCTAAGATCGATCGTATAAAAGCAAACTATTGAAATCCCATTAGCCCCAACTTTGTCTCTTACCATATTCGCTATTCGGATGTAGGTAGTTACCGCTACCTGGACCACTGAAACGTACACGACAGTGAACAGAAGACCGTGCTGATGCATCGGATGGGACGGAGAGAAAGTGAGAGAGATTTCGGCCGAAACTCGCGCGGTCAATCTAATCGTAACGATCGTCGATCGCCCAAATAAACGTTGTCTATCGTTTCCGAGCAATAGATCTGGACGCCGCGAGATCATTGCGACGCGATTACCATCGATCCGAGGCGTGGTACCGAGCGGAGAACGGGACTGGCACCGGCGGTGGTTTCGCCGATGGCAGGACCGTCGCTCTTGTCATCATTCTCGTACTTACTCGATCACTTTGTACGGGGGATGGTAGTAGGATTGCTGTTGGACGGGATTTTCGAACATGGCCAACGGTCTTAGAGGAATGTTCTCCTCCATACCGGTCGGTTTCGAGTCCATTCCCATTCGGTTCATCGCGCTGTCGCTCAGTCCACTGGACAAAAATTTTCTTACATCATTTCCATCTAGCTGAGATATTTCATTAGGGACGACTGATCGTGTCGGAATCGTTAATAATAATTATCTTACGCTGTCGATTTGTATACGAGAAACTCTAATACACTTATTTCTAAGAAAACAGATCGACGATTGCGAAACTAACCCTGCTACGTTTGGCACAACCTGATGAGACCTTGCGGTGATCTGGTTCGACGCGTCGCCGCCGCTTCGGCGAAGCGACGAGTACGGCAGGAATTCTATAGAATTCGTCGGAGGAGCCTGCGGAACCAATCAGAATTAATCATTGCACTCACACGAAGAGATCCGCTCGTCTTTGTAGCTTAAACGCGTCTACCTTGTTCGTAGGGTTCACTTTGAGCGACCTCGCTCTGTTGAAGCTTTGCTGACCCTTCTTTACGCTCAACCAGACGCTGCCGAAGATCCTATGATTTCTCTGAAAAGTGAAAGCGCTGTTAGATCGAGAGGATTGTTGCTATTATTGTTATATCGGTACCCTGTGCATAGGTTCCGGATTATCGTCGAGAAGCTCTTCCAAGTTTCCAGAAATGGCTCTCTTCAACTCGGGTCCAGCTTCGTGCAAGGTTCTCAAACCAGCCTGAAGGGTGACCGTGTTGTGACACTCTTTGTCTCCGTCCTTCATCTCCTGTTCCTTGCGTTTCTTGAACCTTCGGAAGTAGTCCTGGATCAGGAAGGTCGCGTAGAACTTGCCGACAGTCACTTCGTCGTCAACTGGAAAATTCGATTCGTATGAAAATTATTTCTTCTATTGTCTTTTCTATGAATATCACAATAGCTAACAGTCTCTAATGATCTATAATGCTAAATAGATGATAATCGATAATTCAAAGACACACCTCCCGGTGGTGGGACAACTTGATCCAGAAGCTTCGGACTGGTTCTCTTCCAAATCTTCTTGATCACTGCCCTGAGCTCGGTGTTCGCGTCGTCGATGTTCCCTTCGGTCTTGATCCTCAACGATGTCCTCACCACCGCGAACAACGTTGCATTGAACAAGACCGTGCCGTCGCTGTTCAGCGGCATGTTCATTGACACCAGCCTCTAAAGGTGTACATGTATAAAGTCAGTTGAAAGAAATGGAACAACTGATGAAAAATGTAGATCGATCGTTAAGTAAATCGTTCCACCCAAGACCTCTCCAAGAAAAACAATTAAGCACGCGTTGGAAATTAGCACGATGGTTTGGATCACTCGAAATCGAATTAACAGCAATGTTGGAACAGAGTTGCCAGCTTGAGGTAACTTATTATCCCTTTAGATAGTTAGAGAAGATAGCAAACTTAATTATCGATCGACCCTCACAGCTTCCTAACATACTAACTTTGCACGCGACACGATGCGGACAAAGTTTACCGAATCCCAAAGGGGGCGATATCTTTCTGAGGAGCGTGACGACGTCTAGATGTTTGATGCGACCCTTCGCGTCGGGATCGTACTCGGACCAAAGACGAATAAACTCGTCCAAATGGTGGGGCCCCAGGATCGACCAATCTCTCGTCAAATAATCGAAATTGTCCATGATCACAGCGACGAACAGATTGATGATCTGCAAGAAATAGATCGATCTCAAGTTCAGTCTTCTATATCTATTACAATCAATGGTGCAGCATGTTGATCGCTTACTAGGAACGAGCATAAAACGTAGAAAGATATAAAGTAGGGGATCGCGATGTCGGATCCACAGCCATTCATGTTAGTAGATTCGTCGCTGTTCTGATCGCACTTGACCTTGCCGGGTTGCGCTGAACAGTCCATCATGATTTCTTGCCAAGCCTCGCCTGTAATCACGTTATCGTAAACGTATAACTAAACTTCCATAAGTTGAATATATGAGAAATATATGAAAACCGTATAAACGAAAATTGCTTACAGGATTTAATGAAGAATTATACTTTTCCCAATTTCTATCTAATTGAATGTATATTCGAAAAAGACTTTTCTTAAGAAACGTGGAAACACAAATTATTCTATCATCTGTTTATAATGGAGCAGCAGCTGCTTACGAAGAATCAATTGGTTCGTGATATTTCATTTTTCTAAAGGAATTTGCTTGCTACACACCTGTGGCCGATCGAAACAGGACCAGTACGGCTTGCGGGAAGGACTGGAAGTTATTATTCCGATCTATCGACGTGTCGTCGTCGATCGCAATCTTTCCAAACACCTGCAATACAAACGTGTGTGGTTTATTTTCAACTCTGCGGAACGAATGTAGTTCTCTTTCGTTGGTATCTGATGGATCATTGACTTACCTGCATACCTATCACGGCGTAAATAAAAAATAGCATTATAATGAGTAGAGCTACGTAGGGCAGAGCTTGGAAAGACTTGATGAAAGTCCAGAGAAGCGTCCTAATGCCTTCGCCTCTGCTCAGCAGCTTCACCAATCGCATCACTCGGAACAGCCGAAAGAAGTTGATGGAAATGATGGTCGAGCCGGGCTGGAAATATTTTATTAATCAAAATATTAACTTAACTTCTTTTTCGGTCTATTTATTAATTTATATCTTATCTGATTATTAGTCTTACTGACTTTAAAACGTAACTTCTAATTTTTCGTTTAATGTTTTCATTTGTTATTCTTCTCTGATCCAGAACTTCTCTTTCATTCTTTTCCTCTTGTACTTATTTATTAATATTACTTATTCCAAGATTTGACTAATATATATCACAAACTCCCAAAAATGTTGATCTTTCAACCACTCTATACCAAGAGTTTAACTATATACAGAGTGTTCCCGAAATAATAGTGCAACCAAGAAGTCATTATACTCCGTCGACGACAGAATAAAATCGTTATTACTCACGTTAACTTCCGAGTAAACGATGTCGATGAAGCTCCCGAGGACGATGATGAAGTCGAACACGTTCCACGCGTCGCCGAAATAGTTCTGCGAGCAACATTTTCCGTTAAAAGCGAGTTTATCGTGGATTTCGACGCGAAGGTTCGTTTCTCCCTGAATCGTACGTACCTTGAAACGAAACGCCGCCAGCTTGAAGATGAACTCGAGCGCGAACACCGCGGTGAAGATCATGTTCAACACATCCAACGCTTCTGTATAGATCTCCGGCTGCCGGTAGAACTTCATCGCCAGCGTCACGGTGTTGATCATGATCAATGTGAAAATGGTGTATTCGAACGGCTGAGAGGTGACGAACCACCAGACTTTGTACTGTATTCGATGCTTCGGTATGTATCGTCGCACTGGTTTCGCCTTTAACGCGAACTCGATGCAGTTTCGCTGCACATTTAATCGAACACATGTATCGCACACAGACGCGGTGGATCGACCCTAGAAAGACTAAAGTCGGGTGGAGGTTCTTTGCAAATGATTAACCCCTTGTCCTAATATTTACTTTCGCTACTAAGTTCGTGTAACATTTTAATATCGACAGTTTGGAAGAAATGCAATAAAATTTTCCATTCTACTTGGAGTGGAAATTTCATTTGAAGACAATAAATTGGTAATAAAATAGTTGTTTGATTTAATACGTGAATAATGAACATTGATTGTTGTTAAATTGGTCTAGAAATCTTTATCGCGACTCTCACTCGTCATTGTACGACAAGCGATTAAAACATTCAATCAGAATCGACGACACTATGTAATTATGAATTGTTCAAAGTATCTTCATTTTTCCTGGCGTAGAATCATTTGAAAGAATGTATAACACATTGAAAGTATTATTGGAGTCGCTTAGAAGTCAATGCGGTTAGGCCCATAAAAGAAAAATTGATAAAATTAATGATTTAGTTTCTGAAATTATTGTACAACATATTCAGAACCTATATAAAGAAGGGTTTTCTCATATAGAAAAACCGAAGAAACGAGTAAATAATTAAATAAATACAAAGAGTATTAGTTATTCCATTGAGATTTACAAAAATCAAGAAATATCAAAAAATCGACTTAACTGCATCGGCTACTGAGCAACTCATGTCTTTTTTGTCGAGAATAATGAAGAATATGTGAAATATTGAAAATATCCTATTTCTTTATTGTGTAGGATATTTGAAATATTTTATTTCTTTCGCGCGTAGATTTTTCTGTCCCGAATAATGAAGAATATGTAAAATATTGAAAATATCCTATTTCTTTATTATATGCGACATTTAGAATATTTTATTTCTTTCTTGCGTAGAATGTATAAAGTAAAGTATACAAAATATTTGAAACATTTTTTTTGTATGAGAACATTTAAAATAAAAATAACAAAATATTTGATTTCTCTTTTACACTTGAAATGTAGTCTTTCCAGGGATAGCTAAGTGTATACACACAGATAGAAGTTTTTCGACCGTCTCGATAATATCGTGCTATCGTGACAAAAGTGTTGCTCGCCGGTGAGCTATCGTTGTTCATCGTTAAGAAATTAGATATCGGAACGGACCGGCTTACCTGATTCTTGTCGAGCTCGCAGTTTTTGTACTCTTGCTCACCCTCGTTCTGGAAAGTGACAATAACGAAACCAACGAAGATGTTCACCATGAAGAATGCTATGATAATGATGTAAATGATGTAGTACGCGGCCACTATCGGCCGAAAATTATGAATTGGTCCATGATCCTCCTTGTTAGAGTCGATCGACACGTCTAGCAATCTGTTGGGAGAGAAAACGCTAAGGCGATGCGCACCGAACTGCTCCACAGACTGTGTGCTTTTCTCTTAAACCTCGGGAGACGGCGTTTTTTACATTTCCACGGTCCACGTTTAAGCTCTAGATCTTTCGCTCTTGCCTTCTAATCGGTACTCAATAGTACCGCTGCTTTTAATTTCTACATTTTAATTTAAATCTCATAAATTTAATTTCTAGTTACTCGCACCGATAAATCTAACTTCTAGTGATATTCGCAGATAAATTTACATTTCTAGTCATTCTAATAGACGTATTTAATCTGTATGTATTCCTCGTTACTGAACATTGCTTCTCATTCGATCACAAAATCTAAATGACATTAGAGCTAACTATGTTCAATATATAATCTCCACTTTCCTCCACTTAGATAGATACAATTATCAGTTCGAATCACCCTAGCCAGCAACTCAGAAATTAAATCCAAAAGTCAAAATGGTCTTTCGAAGCGCCGTTTTCCGAGGATTAAAACAAACTCATTCTTTTCGTCCGAGGTATCGATGGAAACGAATACGAACGGAGTTTACGTTCCCTTGAACCGGTAAATACGCTCGGTTCCCGGTTTCAAATGACACACAACAGACAGAGAACGAGAGAGAGAAGCTTGTTGCGAATCGACGAGGCGAGACGAGACGAGACGAAACCGAGTCGAGCTTACTTACGACGGCCAGCCCTCGAACGTCGAGACGGTGAACAGCGTCAGCATCGCCTTCGCGACGTCGTCGAAATGGAAACGGTTCTGAATCCAGTTCCTCTCCTTCATCACCGGCTTGTTGATGTTCCCGTTCTCGAACTCGAGATACGTGCCCCTGGAAGCGAGAGTAAGTCCAGCAAAGTCCTCGATGTTCGTAGATGATGCTTCACTCGATGCTCACGCCGAGAGAAAAAAGTATTCGCGTTTGGTTCGGTTTTATTTTGAATGTTTTCATCGGTTCATCTTTGTATGCATTTTCAATAGAATCATACGTATGGTAATAATCATATATAGGATAATGATAATAACCATATCGTGTCTTTATCATATAAAACAGTCATCAGAATCATAGAAAAAACAGATAAAACATTCGTAGCGTTTTTGGTGTCATCTCTAAGTTAGATTTATGAAATTTCTGTCGAAAATGAAACAAGAAATATCTTAACAAGCGATGTTTATAAAAGAAAAGAATTTTGGAAAAATGGATCAGTAGTAGATCAGTGATAATAAGAATAGGATAATGATAATAATCATATTGTGTCTCTACCACATAAAACAGTCATTGGAATCATAAAAGGAACATAGAAAAAACATTTATAGCGTTTTAGTGCCATCTCTAACACAGATTTATGAGTTTTCCATTGAAAACAAAACAGACGAAATATCTTGAAAAGCGACAGTTGTAAAAGGAAAGAATTTTGTAAAAATAAAAAAGAGGACGAATCACTGTAGCTTCTAGGGAAGGCGGAAAGAAGGATTAACTAAATTACCAATTACACGAATAGCTTTTTCTCTCGTCGTGTGTTGGAAAGATAACTTACTGGCACTCGTCCTTCGTCATTTTCGATGCATCGGTACAAGAGAAAAATTTCCCCTATACAACACAAGAAACCTATTAATGCGAAGCGGGCCGGCAACGGAAGCCGAGGCTTCCCGAAAGGTTTAAAAGCACAACGAACGCTCGTCGATCATCTCCGACCCGCCTCGAAATTTACAGTTTCCGTGGAAGCTCGTTTCGCACGGCGAGCAGCGAAACGAAGATCGCGATCGATCGACGAGCGTCCGATCGTTTTGGTTAATTGGCCATTCACTAGCTTGGAGCGAAAGTCAGTAGCAGCGGTTGGTCGAGCAAAACGTAAAGGAAAGATGAAAGAAAAACTAAAAATAAAATATGGAGAAGTGACAGAGACAGAAGCATTCCGTTTGGCGTGCACAATATAATACAGAAGATTGATTATGTATATGTATATATGTATATATATATATATATACAAGGCTGTCTCGTTTCGCCTGCGCCGATCGAGGCGACGTGGATCGTGCACGAGTGGGGATCGAGAGTCCGGAAAAACGTTCTCGCTTGGCGTCGTTGGGCGATGATCGAGTTTCAAATATATCCGTGGATTCGAAAGGGAAATTGTGTTCCGATTTTCGCGACGAATCGTACCGTTGGTGGAACGAATACAGTCATTTCCTTTGGAACATGCTCGAATCCTTGCAATTTTTAGAAAATATGTTGAAGATTATACTTAGATAAAGTATTTAGATGAATGTACATATGCATTTTGCTTTAACACTAGAATTACCGCGCATTTAACACGATTTATGTGCTCTTCCTATAAATATTGTAAGAATACATTTTTCCCGGGTACTTTAGATATTCGTTGTAGTATTCAAATGAGGATATTTATTTTTAAAATCATTTCGAATACTTAATGCTGTTACAGTATCAATAATTGTTGAATAAGAAAGCTAATACGGTGGTTCTAGCGTTGAAGCAAGGAAAGCCTACAAAATTTTGAGACCTAAATCATCAAAGATATCAAATAGATTGTTTTAAATATATTTAATGATCAAAGATATCGTTATAAAGAGAAACTGTCAAATTCAATGTGAGATTGATCGTCTTCACTACCAAACTAAGAAATTTCATCGTATAAAAATCCCAACTTTCTCAAGAATCGTTAAATTCCCAACCACGGAGAACGTGTTTCGCGGGGAATGGCTATTGTACAAGGGATCGCGCGGATTGGAGAGTCGTCCGCGATTTACGCCGACTTTGTTCCGTCCATAATTGTTTGCAAGTGAAAGAAAGCGATCTGGCAGGCGGCACTGCGATCGTAGCTCGTGCAGAAGCGGGCGGCGTGACGGGATTCCCCGCGGGAATCATCGCTGCTTTCTCGTTCCCCTCCGCGACGCGAGAAAGTTTCATCCGTTCGCTACCTATTTTCCGGATGTAAACAGCGTTGAAACAAGACTGACGCTATGAAATCGTTTAAAATCCATTAAATCGACAGAAGTTTAAAGACACCTGCAATGGAAGCTTCGAATTTTCCAAATTTTACTATATACAATATTTCACATACACTGCGTTTGACAGATAGTCTCGCGATGCGTTGGAAAATGCAGGATGACACTGCCTGTGCACCCTGAAGCTATATCGAAAGTCAATCAAACAACTGTCAGAATTGGACACGTTTCATCGTGAACTAACTGGAACGAGGAACTCCAAAGCAGCGCAAGAAAACTGATTTTTTTAGAATATTGATCGGTAAACTCATCGCTGTTTTGAAACCCGCGTCTTTAATTGTCGAAATAGTTGAAGCTTGTAGTAGCGAACGGTTGAAACGCGACATCGACCGAATCGCGTAACGTCCGCCGAACGAAGCGCGCGTCGAAGCGACAGTATCCTTCTCGGATGGTTCCTAAGCGAACGTTTCTCCCTAACTGGTCTCCGATTTTGTGCGATCGGTATCCTTCCACCGGGATCCTCCGCGAAATCGTGTCACAACGAGCGAAATGTTCTCGCAGTACGATTTGCTCTCTAAGCTTCCGCGGGAAACCCGTGGCCGGACGAGGGGATCGGAAGTGTTTTCGAAGCGAATTGAACAACGCTTTCCGTTGAGTTTTATTCCTCCACCTTAATGGAGATGTTATTTACAGGGAAAATTCAAATTCTAACAGCTCCTTGTTAATCGCGTGTCAAAATTGTCAATCTTATGATCAAGAGTTCTAGCTCCTTTCCTTTCAAAGGAGTTCTAGCTCACTTTGTTTCTTAACACGTCGATGCCAGCGCTGTAATTCACGTTTCTGCCCATTTGGATTTTAAAATTGTTGTAATTATTGAAGTTATAAAGTTTCTCTACTTATCAATCTAATTTAACGAACTACAAATTTGACGGTACACCCGTCGTCAACATGTCAAACCCTCTCCTTTAAAGTTTTACCACCGAGTGTCGTTTTTCGGAACGTTCGCACGCGATCGGGTAAAGAAAATGAAAAGAACCGTTAGAGTCCAAGTTTTCCTGTAATTACTGTCTAGCTAGGTGGACGATCGAAACTTGGCTTCTTCTAGAAGAATGTTTCTCCTAAGCGGCGATTTAATTCGGTTCAAGGATGTTTTTGACCTCCTTTCATCCGGCCACGCTCTTCCAGATTAAAGACACGTTCCACCTCTCTTTCGAAGGACTGGAAAGCACTCGGTGTTGCGAAGGTCGAGGATGCTTGTACTCCGGTTGTTTAATAGTTGGAGCAACAGTTGACAGTTAGTACGAGCTTGCGAGCTGCGAGTGGAACGAAAGGAAACGAGCATATCATGCACCTGCCGCTCTAGCTCGCGTGAACCGTAACCATAAGAGGGTCGACGTTCGATCTCTGCTCTGAACGATCTACGGTGGTCCAGTCGCTGTGATCGAATCGATTTTCGCTACTTTGTTTTCGGAATGGAGCAAAATGTAGTCTAATTAAAGAAAAAGTCTGGAAATTCAAATACAACCACTGATTCGATCGCAGATTAGTAAAATCGAAGTGATAACAGCTGTAATGAACAATTAGAAATAATTTTCAATTGAATCAACAGCTGTGTTCCAATCACTGCATCTAATACAACACTATTTTTACCAGAGATGTCGACAAATAGTTTTTAAAATGATTTTCTAAGTTTAATTATCTTTCCTCAATTGACTTTACTTTTCCTATGTTGACGATAAAGCTTATTAAAGTTAAACAGTCGATCGAGAACAAATTAATTAAACTTCGAAAATAATGTTTCAGTTAGAATTCTAATCCCTCGACACATTCGGTACTAGTGGCTACACAATCGAATCACACTTTGCTCGACTCCGTTGGTCTGCGGTCGTTGTCAACGCTACGATGATGCCGTGCGAATTCTGCGCAAGCTACTCTAAACCGTCTACGACTATGTACAAGTGCACGCGGCTCTACGTTTTCGAGATGGCCCTTCAAGTTCGGGATCCCGGCTTGCGCCACAGTCTACCTCTCCGGACATGGCAAGAAGGCTCTTCTCGACGAGAACCTGCATCGTCGTCGGACGAGCAGCTGGAAAGGCCGTCGACGGACCGTAAAGGATCAACCTCCCGACCGTAATCACGCTCACGCTCGTAAAGTATTAGGACACTTGTCGAATTTCAGAAGAGAACTTGACGAGGAGAACGGACTCGTCAAGCTGTCGCAGACGTCGAATGAATTCTGTAGAATCCTAGGGAAAACAGGGACCGTGAGAACGGGACACACTCGGCGGGCCAAGTTTCTTCACGGATTCTTGGTCCGTTGATAGAGCGACTCTTTCGCGCATTCACGGAACGTCGGTGTGTTCCTTTGCCTCCTACTTTGCGCGAAATTTGAAGCTTTGTTTGCTGACGCGTTGACTGCCAAATGAACACGTTAAAACTCCTGTGCCGTCGAAACGGTATTCTTCACGCTAGATTCACGGAATGATTCGAGGAATGTTGAATTTTATGAACGTTATTCGGTAAATATTTACGTGAATTTTTATTAACCCCGTTAAATCAGTTAAAATCATACATTTTTTAATTCTTGTTTTACGATTATTAAGAAGATAACGGATGCTTCGCTGAAAAATTGCCGAGGGAACTGGAGACCTCGATGACTTACGATTCAATTTGTTACTGAAGCACAGATGCACCCTTCGAGTTTCAAAGAAAGATTTGAAAAAATCGATTACTTGGTATTTCTAGCGCTATAAAGGTTCTCTTCGCAGAAGCAGAATTGATATTCTTCGAGCACCAATTTTTAGTTGTATGTAACGAAACTCTAGAATACACGACTTATTGTCTTCAGGGATATAAACATGTGTAAATAATCCGAAGTATATGGAAATATTTAACGACATCTGATCAGATAGAGTTAGCTTCCATCATTTCAAACTACAATCATTCGCCATTTCACAAGTGCAACGAACTAAATGAAACGTACAATTTCGTCTGAAACATATTTTCTCAGCAAAAATGGCAAGTGTCCTAATATTTATGAACGCTAGGGGATCCGCGAGAGTCAGAATACCTTTCGGACCGCGTTGCGTTCCTCGGGCGCGAGCTCTGTTCGAAATCGATCGAGCTACGGTTCCATACGAATCGTTTTACCCAGAAGAGGGAGGAAGAGCGAGTTAGATGGGAATAGACAGACAGAGCAAGAGAGAGAGACAGTGATAGAAAAAAAGGAGAGACAGAGGTTGG